TCCGATCTGCCGATACCGACAGGCCTCATTCGGCTAGCGAGGAGATCACGCCTGTTAAGAACATTCCGGGTGGATATGTCTCTGGAACCTCGACACCTACGCCTTCAGCAACTCCCTCAAATCTCGAGACAACATTATCCACTCAGCACGCCAACGTATCTCATGGCGATTTGACTGCTTTGCCGCGCGGTCAGAAGGATTACGTGGAAGAATATGAACCAGACGAGTATGGCCAAAAGCATCCTCTCGAACGACAAGGCCAATATGAAGAAGATGACATTTCTGACAACGATTATCCTGAGGGTGGATATGATAACTCCTATTTCGCTACCCAGGATGTCCCTCCTCCATTAAAGTATGTTCCCTACCAGGCTGGTGCTCGAGGCCTCAGCCCTATCCCCAGTGTTTCTGGCTACACTGAGGGCGGCAGCGAGTATCACCCTCGTAACTCCAGGAGTATGCATTCTACAAGTGATGCTTACTACGAGCGATCTGGGGATCGTCGCAATAGCCAGTCTACGCCTTCTCTGAACTCCCTTCAAGAACGAGAAATGGGCCAAATGTCACCTCAAAGTTCTGGTGTAGGTTACCGAAACACCACCTACACGGATGACAGCGAGTTGGACAAGGTCGCGTCTGGACAAGCTGTCCGTGGCGTTGGTGCCAACCCCAACCTGGTTCACCCTCCTATGGGGCCTGAATCAGCAGTTGCTTCACTCGTTGAAGGCTCGATGCTCGACCAGTCCATGCTGAGCGGCTCCTACAGCGACTACCCTGGTCCTCGCGACTCGACTCTCTCTTATGACGACCAGTCAAGGACTTATAGCAGCCGCGGTGCGAGCCCCGACAAGAACTACATAGATGGTAGTGAGTTGGAACCCGAGAGGCATGCTACACCTAGTGCCAGATCTCATACCAAATCACAAGAGTTCACTGAGTATGATCTGGATGAGCATGGCCGAAAGGTGCCCCGAACAAGGTCACCCACGGCGTCAGAAGTTGCTATTGCGACTGGCGCCGTTGCTGCTCTCAAGGCGGCGCAGGGTAAGAAGCAAGCAGCTACCGAGGAGCCAGAGGAATACCAGGGCGCCGGCGTCTTCCGTAACAAGTCCTTCAAGGAGCGTACTTTGGAAGGTCATGAGCCTCGTAACACTCCTGCTCACAGCATCGACCGCCTTTCTTATGATGACTCACCCAAGATGACTGCAAGTGGTCTCCCCGACTTTAACAATCCCATGCCTGAATTTGGCTACATTGATGACGATGTTCACACCAACCCTTCGGTTGTCCAAGAGCGTCTTGATGGCGAACACCACGATGATGCTTCTGAAGGCCGAGCAACACCCACTCCCCGAAATGTTGCCGAGCAACGCGCTGAGAGCGCTGCCAGCAGTCACGGACCTGGTGCCGCTCAAGTTGCCGGTGCCGCTGCGCTGGGTGCTGCCGCTGGAATGGCTGCTACCAATGCTCACAGCCGTGAACCCAGCCAGGATCAAGATGAGTGGCAGCGGACCTCTGACGACCGCAAGCGAGACACTCTTGTCACCAACCCATATGAGGACGCCAGTCCTGTCGCCAACCCTGCCCTGAATGACAACCTTTTGGGAGCCCGGGGTTTTGGGGCTCCTTACCACACCGGAAGCCCTGGCTTCGGCCCCAAGTATGACGAAGGCTATATGTCCAATGGCAATAACCGAACTCCCGATCTCCAGCCCAAGGGTAAGGCTCTTCAGCTGTCTCTGCCTGGATCTCCAAATGATGCTGGCCAGGACCCCTTCTACGCCCCCAAGGACGCTCGTCACCTCAGTGGCATGTCTCAAGGCATGGGGTCACCATTCTACGATGCAGCCACTGGTCAAGGAATTGACCGCATCGAGAACAAGGACATTGTTGCCCTGATGCAGCACCTGATGGTTCGAGATGCCCAGCGCAGTGCCCGCGATACGGAAATTGTTGCACTGCTGATGAACTCTGCCCTTGAGATGCGAACTTCTCTGAACGAGCTTAGAAACCTCGTCCAGGACACTAGCGACGATGTCATTTTCGCCGGCGTTGAGAATACTGAGAAGCTTCAGAAGGCAATCAATGGCCCTCGCCCCTACCCTGGCGCCCGATCGGTTCAAAGCATCTCCCAGGTTGACACTTTCAATGAAGCCGCTGCCAAGAAGAACCTATTCAAGCGAGCTTTCCAAGGTCTCAGCAACAAGGGTACGAGTGACTTCAAGCGTATTGAAGAAATCCTGATGCAGATTCTCGGCGAGGTTGACGAGCTCAAGGGACAGAGCACCGTCCCCCCAGTTTCCACCAGTGGTGGTCGTGGCCCCTCATTCGACAACCTGCAGCCTGAGGGCCACTTCGAGCAAGATCGAGGCTACGAGCCTGAAGGCAACTCGACAATCACCCCCAGCCAGTCTGGTCACTTCTCGCTCTCCCACTCCCGATCTCGGCTTGCCAACGAACGCAAGTTTTCTGATAACCGCATCAGCACCGTTGCTGAGCACGAGGATGAATACGAGCAGGCCCATCCTAGCCCGACTGGCGAGCGCAGCAACCCCAATATGCTGACACCCGAGCGATCAGGCTTCCAGCGCGGAAGTTCTGCTCCTCTTGATACACCCCCTCAACCATCTGGTGTTGCTCAGCCAATGAGTAACGAGAATACTCCTCGCACAACAGAGAAGCAAAAAAAGCACAAGTCCGGTCTTTCGGGTTGGTTCCCCAAGATTTCCAGGTGGTCTGGAACGACAGCCTCCAGCGCTGGCAAAGGCAAGAAGGAAGCCAAGTATGATGACTACCCTCCCTCGCGCTCAGGATCTAGCTTAGGCGAGTATAACGATGGGGATTACAGTCATGCCCCTTACGCAGAGGACCAGCTACATACCGGATTCTCCCAGCAAGAGCTCGCGTCGGCGCCCAATGCTGGTGATGCCATGCCAGCGCCTCTCCGCCGCGAAATCAACCATACTCCTGGCAATGCACCCAAATATCAGGTTCACCGAAACTCATTGAACCTACAACACCCCCAGCCCAGACAGGGCCAGACAGAGCGCTTCCGCAATGCTCTGGAGTTCTCTGCTCAAGAATACAACGTCCCCATGACACCTAGGTCGGCAGATTGGGGTGGTTCGGTTTCGAGCTTAAACCAGATGGCTCAAAACACCAACCGATACAGCCAGGCATCATCAACAGGTGCTCCGCAGGACCCTGCCTACTGGACCACATCTCCAACCGGCCCCCCTCGACCTCCCAAGGAGCCCATCGAGCCCACTGGTAGCCCCTCAGCTCTATCTCCCCCCAGGGGTAGCCGCATCTCCAAGTTGGCCAAGGGTAGCCCCGCCCCTCATCCCAGTGATGAAAGCGGATATGCTACTATGAGTGGTACTCATGTCAGCCACCTCACAAGCAGCCCCAAGCCTGAGAACCGTAACCTCAATGCCGCTTTGGGTGTCCCTACTCGTCGACCTAGTGGGCCACGAGCCATGACCCCTAAGAGCCCTGAGGATGAAGCTCGTCGACGCAAGCGAGGTAAGTTCGATTTGATCCGTATCTAATATCCATGCCTCTAACCTTTGAAGCAGATACCTTTGGCAGTGTTGCATCTCATAACACGGATGACACGGAGACCTTTTAGAAAGGGGATAACCGTGGCAGCCGTCCACTACCGAGATGCTGATCGATATATTATCGGAGAATGATACAGTGCCTTGCTTCTTGACACCAAACTTGACTCTCCCCCTGGAGGTTCTGGCTGGTGGTCAGTTGTATGAACTTTCTATGGACATGAAACGGCCTTCAGGTGGACGACTTTGCTATTAGCGCGAAAAAGAATGGCAGCTTTAGACTGAAGGGGTAGCCAGCTGAAACAGCAGCAAGATGAAGGGCTTAATAAACAAACAACCGAATAGCCAAGGAAACCGGGAAAAAACTGGGGATGGAAAGGTGTTGACAACGAATACCGAAAAAGAAAACAAAGAAGAAAAGAGGATGCAGGAAAGGGATATATTTGCATACAGGGAGCTTTTGCTTCGCTTCTTGACGACGACATGACATGGCTTTCTTACTGCAGAGCGATACGTCAATGGTTTGATTTGCGAGCAATGATTTAACTCGGATTGGATATCATGAGCGGAATGGGGAAGGATGCTACGGCAGGACAGTACAAACATAAATAAGCACAAGCAAAAGCACAAGTGGATGGACATGATGCGCGTGGACATATTTTCAAGTTAGATAGTTGGGGTTCCTGGTTGTGTTTAGCTTTGTGGGTGTGAGATAGATACCATGCCGCCGATATTGGTTGTAAGTGGGAACGAGAGGAATCCAATCGATATGAATCCAGAAGGATACCACCACAATGTATTATGTTCTTTTGCAAGTGAAGTGAAAAAATGGCTCCTTCAGCCAGCGTTGTAGAATGATACATATAGTTCCCACGTTAGTCTACCGTTAGGCCTTCGTTATAAGTTAGGTAGGTTTTAGCATACCTACAAAGAACTACTGGTACCTACCAGGCTAGCCAGGCTACCAGGTATGGATGGTAGGATGGATACGGCCCCAGAGTATCCGGGGGAAGGCCTCAAAGTCCGGAGACTGCCAACTAGGGCCCAAGTTACTACCTAGCCTACTGTACTAAGCTAGGTCCCTTCAACTACCTAAACCCTCCATTTCTAGGTCGCTCCGACTTCGGTAAAGAAGTAGGTACCAGTGCAGCCAGCTCCCCCAGCTCCCCCAGCTCCGCGAATAACGATCTTGAAAAAGTTGTATGCGTCAGCATTCAACTTCTGAATCGGGGACTTTTCGACATCTCTTCAGCCCGAATGTTTTCATACCTATCTACTAGACTTTATGATCTCGTCTTTCTCTAATATTTCCTTTGGTCTGAATAGAAGCCTCGCTGTTACATCACCGAGCTTGAGCATTAGCTCTTCCAAAGCTGCCGTTCACTCCTTGGAAGAGATTCATGACAAATAGACTCGCACGAGTCAAATCACACACAGACAATGGCTGCAGACGTGCAAGGGAAGATTATATTGAATGAGCCAGAACCCATAAAGACAAAGGGAAAGAAGACAAGTAACGTCGGCGGTGGAAGCGGTGCACATGATTACAAAGGCTTTGTAGCGGGTGTCTTCAGCGGCATCGCCAAGCTCTCAGGTATGGATGTGTCCCTTATCATGACGGCTCGAGATGCAAACATTGACAGCTTTTCATAGTTGGGCATCCATTTGACACTATCAAAGTCCGTCTACAAACAACAGACCCAAGCCGCTTCAGTGGCCCTCTGCAATGCGTTACCCAGACTATTCGCCATGAGGGCTTTCGCGGGCTCTACAAAGGCGCAACACCGCCTTTGGTCGGATGGATGTTTATGGACTCGGTCATGCTGGGCTCGCTCACCGTCTACCGTCGTCTCCTCTCAGAACATGTCTTCAATGTTGAGCCACTAGGAACCGATGTTACGGCATCTTCACCCGGCACAGCCCCAAAGGGTCACACAGCGCTACCCAGCTTCGGCCATGGTATCGCGGGAATATTAGCTGGCTCAACGGTGAGCTTCATTGCTGCTCCAGTCGAGCACGTCAAGGCACGATTGCAGATCCAATACGCAGCGCAAAAAGCAGACAGATTATACGCCGGGCCGATTGATTGTCTGCGCAAGATCTACCGCTACCATGGCATCAAGGGCGTGTATCATGGCCTCTCAGCGACCCTTCTGTTTCGAGGATTCTTCTTCTGCTGGTGGGGCAGCTACGATATCTTATCTCGACAACTACGCGAGAAGACAAACCTAAGTGCACCGGCAGTGAATTTCTGGGCGGGAGGCCTGAGTGCGCAAGTGTTTTGGTTGACTAGTTATCCGAGTGACGTAGTCAAGCAGCGCATCATGACAGATCCGCTGGGAGGCGGCCTCAACGATGGAGTCAGGAGATTTCCTCGTTGGAAGGACGCAGCAGTTGCTGTGTACAGGGAGGGAGGTTGGAAGGGATACTGGAGAGGGTTTGTTCCATGTTTTCTGAGGGCGTTTCCGGCGAATGCCATGGCGCTGGTTGCTTTTGAGGGTGTCATGAGATCGTTGCCATGAGGAGGCGCGAACATGAGAATAATACGATGGCACGAAACAAACATACATACCCGACAGCATCATCTTCCAGTCAGTTCACAAATTCGGCATCTACATCACTCAGGCATTGGGAAGAGAGCAATATGAACACCACAAAGAGTGCCACATAAAATGGCTGGGTCTATTGGCCGAGTCCTTGAAGAAACTTTTTGTTATCCCCTGTCCCAATTCACCAATCCATTCCTGCGCCGATGCAATGCAAATTGATTCGCTACTCGTCGTCCTCGTCAGCCTCGTCGTTAACGACGTTGAAGAACTTGAGCTCGTAGACACCTCGGGAGGTGGAGACGACACGGAGCCAGTCACGGAGCTGCTGCTTCTTGAGGAACTTCTTGGTCCTGCTCACAGTTAGCATCTTGTTGGGTCATGTGATGGGATGTGATGGGATGTGATGTGCATCCCATCCTCGTGCTTCACTTCAGACAGAAACGTACAGGTACTTGAGATAGCGGCCAGAGAGCTCGTTGTGGGCGGTGATCTCGATCTTGCCCTCACCGGTCTGCTTGACAACAACGTTGTCGCCGAGGTTGTTGGTGCGACCCTCGACCTTGATACGGTCCTGGAGGAACTTCTCAAAGGCGGAGACGTCGAAGATCTTGTCGCTGGCAGGCTGAGAAGCATCGATGATGTACTGGCAGGATCAGTTAGCGATTGTGTCCCTCGTTGGGGGGGCTGTGTCTGTGCCGCGCGAAATCGTCGTCGCGGTCGCAGTCGCAGTCGTAGTCGTCGTCATTGAGTCAAATGTCGACCTGGAGCTGGATCTTGCGTACCTTCTTGGTCTGCTTCTGGGCCTTGCCCGACTTCTTCTGTTGAAAAATGACCTTAGCCTACTGCATTCTTATACGGCTCCTCTCCTCGATGCGATGCGATACGCTACGGGAGAGGGCCTAACAGCATAGCGATGTCATGTACGTACTGCCTGAGGAGCCATTGCGAATGGAATGGAATGGATTTTTGTGTCTGAAAAGGGACCGTGGTGTTTTTTGTCGCAAAGAAGTCGAATCCTGCGCTTGAAGGGGAAAAAGAATCAGTAAAACTCGAGTCCTCAGCTCCAAAAGCAAGAAAGGTAATTCTGTGTGGGTGCAAAATTAGGGCTCTTTCGGATTATTTTTGATGCGGAACTCCAGCATCATGTGACTTCAAATCGACTACCTTAGGCCATGAGTTGATGACTAGATGGCTTTATTGATTATCTTCTTAGAATCGAGGCAATGGACAAAAACATTGCACTCGGGCTGTTTTTGAAAGCAAAATGCCACTCTAAAAGTCTATATCTTAACTTGCCGAACGCATAATGCCAAAGTGCTCATCATCATGTCCAATCTATGACCCAACTATCTATGCTTATAGTTCTATCATGACGTTTATAATTCTTTGACTAGCACAATCAACTTGCGAGATAGAACATAACAAGTCACAGAGATGTTTCATACCTCATTTTTGCATGATTGATTTTAAAGCCAGTCAAGAGCTGAAGCAAGATAGATAGATACGTATTATACTAGACTATAGGTATTACTTAGGCTCCTCGACATGTCATGGCTAAGATAGGTACCAGGGCATACACAGCCTGTGATTGGCTGTGTAACCCGTTTAGTCAGACTATCCGAGGACTGTCCAAGTCTTAAGTTGTCAACCACAATCATGTCCCCTTTTACACAAAACAGATCCAAATACATGGCCACAGTCGAACGGAAACCCTGCATCTTTTCTCCATCATCACTGACCTGGCCTAGCCTGACTCCCTAGGCTCCGCTCAGTTGGTCTTTTGGTGGTCGACGTGAAGAATAGGGTCGAGCAGCTTCGTGTACTTTTCAAGAAGCATGTAGCGATAGCTCATGTAGATATTGGTCAGTCGCTTGCGCTGCTCCTTTTCATTCCCTTTCATATGCTGCGCTGCCATCTTGGTATCCTCCGGGAACTCCTCGTTCTTGAGGATCGGGTCCAGGTCCTTGCGAATAGCCTCGACAAGCATGCCACGCCATTGCATGTAGAGCTGTTGGAGACGCTTCAGCTGCTCAGCCTCGTCACCATCAGCAAGCATCGGAGGATCGTCTTCTAGTAGATCATTCCAGTCCTTCTCTTGGCCTTCATCTTTCTCCTTCTCCTTCTCCTTCTTCGCGTCCTTGGCCTGTACCTCTAGTGACCCAAAGTCCTCCTTGCAGCCATTTTCCCCGTTGCACTTGTAGACCTTGTACTCTTTGGTGATCACGAAAGCGGGCTTCTCTCCCTTCTCAATAACAGAATGATGATCTTTGCTCTTATCATTCCCGAGTGTCTCCTTGATCTGGTCTCCAACATTTCCATAGAGATTGTCTTCGTACTGCTCAAGTGAGAATTTCTCAGTGGCCTCTTCTTTGGTAGCATCCGTCTTTTTGTCTTCCTTGTCGTGAGACTTTTCATCCTTGTGTTTGACGGCTTTGCCCTCCTTCTCATTCTCCTTCTCATTCTTCTTCTCCTGCTTCTGCTTGTTATGCTCCCCGGCATCTTTGGCTTCTGAGCGCTTCTTAGGGTTGTGGCTTGAAGCATGCTTCCCAAAATCCTCTTTGCGAAGAATATCCTCATGGCTCAAGCCCTGTACCTCTCTCGCTGCCTTTTCCCACTGGACAATCTCAAGCTCCTTCTTGGCCTCAAGCAACCATTTTTCCTGTATGCGTGCATAACGATGAGCTCGATCGCTCACCGACTTGATCTGGTTTATAACAAGCTGCTTCTCCTCGATGATCTCCCCTACCGACTTGCCCGTCTTTGTTATTTCTCGGGGATTTGCATTGCCACATGTATTTTTGAAATTTGCGACCTTTTGCACAAGCCGCTGGCCCCAATAATGTGCCGCTTTCCACAATCTCTCACTTTTCTCCTCGAGATACCGCACTTTCATTTCTTTCTCCTTCAGAAGCAAGTCTTTATCCTTCTCGTCTTTGTGGCGACGGAGCAGCTTGGACTCTTTAGCGGAGCCAAAGTCACGATTGGGAGAGTCCCAGCCATGGCCGGACCTGTGTGCTTTACCATCCGAATCCTGGGCCTGGTGGTGATGAGAGCCTTTAGTGGTGAAGGCAGGGTCGGCTGCAGCGCTTGAAGCTGGTCTGGTCATCGTAACGGTTGTGGTTGTTGTCGTTGCGCGTAGGTTGACAGTCGAAGAAGACGCTGAAACAGTGGTGCTGCCACTCCCGACTTCACCAGAAGAGGATGCAACAGAAGAGGGTGCAACAGAAGTGGTGAGAGTAGAAGTCGCAGTGATTACAGCTGGTGGTGCTGATGTTGATCCTGAGGTGACCAACCCAGCTGAGGCTGTCGAGGTAGCAGGTGCCTCGTTTTCACAGGGGCAGGCAGCATCTGTGCCGGTAGTAGAGGCTGCTGCTCCAGAAGGGGCGGTCCCTTCACCAGGATACATGGTAGGCATTTCAGCGATTACGCTGTTCAGTCTGGTAGAAGCAGATGCCCATGACTTACGGAAGCTGACATAGCTGTCCAGGATGGGAACTGCTGCCAATGGCCCAGCGAAGCCCACAAGAAGAGTGAGATCAAGACGCATCTCGAACACAAAAACTGATCTGACAAGTTAGGTTGCTGACTTGGTGAGCGTATCAGGTGGAAGGGTTAGCCAGACCCAGCGACAAGACCGGGCGCATCTTATATAGACCGGGAGGATTCTCTCTTTCGACAAACTTCGACAGAGAGTTTTTGAATCAAAAGCCCCTTTTGCTGAGCGTCTGAAGCACTCCGCCACTGATTCTATTCCTCAGTGTTGAAATCGGCATCGTGATCCCCTCACTCAACTGGTGAGGCGTATAGTCGAACCACTCAAACATCTGCCAAACAAATACAATACCAATATTTCTGCCGCTTGCGTTGCCAATACAGCCACAGGGCGGCCATAACAAATCCACCCGGCCATGTTGCAGCCAAGGCCCCTTCAGTTCCGTAAAGCCATTTGAAAAGAGGCACCAGAAACAGCACTTCAATGACGAGCACATATCCTTTTCTCAAGTAAAATGAATCATAAATTGTCGTCAATCTATATGGCAATTGTGGCGTGAGAAAACATGTCTGTCGTGCTACCGGAGAAATCATATCGTCATGTCAACAAACTCAAAAACCCCCCTTGTCGTCACATATATACGTAAAGAATACCATCGGCACTACAAAAACTGAAATGAAGATAATCTGTCCTTTCCCTCATCCTAGGCGGTTCAAGACTTGCTAAACAGCTTCTTGAACGCACCTTTGATGCCTGATGGCTTCTTATCTTCCTCCCTCATTTGCGCTCTACGTCGTTCTTCGTGGCGTGCTTTGCGTCGAGAGTCCTCCGTGTCCATCCGGACGTGTTTGACAGGTCGAGCCTCCTGTTCTCGGTCCCTGTCCCTATCTCTCGTCTTGCTCTTCTCCCTGTCTCTCTCCCGGTCCCTGTCCTTGTCTCGAGTTGGTTCAGGGGCAGGTTCCTCACGAGGGCGGCGCGAGGACCGAGGACGTGGCTCATCGGTGGAAGGGCGAGTGCGTCTATGACGTGTCGAGGGCCGTTTAGGTGAGTCCTCCAGCGGGGCCTCCCTCGTTCGTTCCCTTACAGGTTCGGCGATCACAGGCTCCTCACGTGGCGGTGTGGTCCTGCCCAGGACACCCTCCGAGTTCTTGACGGCAAAGAACTTCTTTCCAGGCACGGGAGCGGGCGGGATTGGTTCTTCTCGAGGACGCTCCCTGGGCTCTTCATATCGAGGTCTCTCGGAATGGCTATGCCGACGCGAGCGGCGATGTCGTCGATCCGGCTCGGGCTCAGGCTGTGGCTGAGGCTGAGGCTCTGGTTCTGGTTCTTGTTCACGAACAGGCTCTTTACCCTTGCTCCCCTTTGCCTCTCGATACCCTGAGGGTTCACGCCCTGTGTTATCTTCCTCTCGCGCTCGCCGTTCTGCCCTTTCTGCTTTGCGTTTGTCGTGGGAAGCCTGTTCCTCAGGGGTTCGGCGTTT